TATAATTATAATTCTTTTTACTAGATATTATAATATATAATATATAAAATAAAGAAATTAATAAGTAAATACTTAAAATATTTCAAGTATTTACTAGTAATAGAAAAAGAGGCTATAAGATTACCTTTATATTTATTATTATAAGAATAAATAGTAAAGCCAAATATTATAAAATTAATTAAAAATAATTAAAGAAGATTTAAAAAAGAGTAAAAAAAGGAACTAGAAAGTAATAATAAAAGAAGTTATTATATATATAATTATTAGAAAGAAAAAAAATATATAATAATATAAAAAGATTCTTTTATAAAAATAGAAAACTATCTAAATTAATTACTAGTTTTCGTATTAGTTCTTATTAGAAATTAGTATAATTAATTAATATATATTTTTAGAAGCCCGTAAATAATTTCTGGAATCTTAGAAATATTTATATAAGTTTCTTATATAAATATTTTATTAAATTCTTTTTATAAAGCTATTTAAATTATTCTAATACGAGATTTAATAAATAGTATTAATTTCGTAAAATAGCACCTTAGTATTTTAGATTAAGTTAATTAGAATATTTAGTTTCTAAATAAAATCGCAATTATTAGCTAGCCCCTATATCTGAAATATAATTACTATTTCTTCTTGCTTATTTAACCCTAATCTAATTAAATAATTTTTGTATTTATTATTTAGATTATATTAGTAAAACTACTTTCTAAAATACTAGAAATTTATTTCAATTAAATATATAATTAATTAAATATTTTACTAAGATAGATTAATGAATTTTAGGAATAAGATTCTAGAAAGAGGATATAGTTATAATATATATAGGGTCGTATATAATCTAAGGGCATATAATAAACCTCGAATATTGCGGGTATTAATTAGATAGATTAATAGCCTTCTAATATTATAATTATATTACTATTTATATTATAAGTTTTAGGCTTATAAATTACTATATATATTATTAAGAGCTTCTATTTAAAGAAGGCTTCCGTAAACCTTATAAAAGAAATAGAGATTAGTTCTATATTAAATTTAATATTATAGTTTTATAACTTACTAATTTATTCCATTATTTTATTACCTATTAATAAATGCCTTATAAATATAAATTAATTTTTTCTTTACTTTAAAATTAAATTAAATATTATAGTAATGAAATCAATAATTTAATAAATAATTACTTTTATTACTCTTAAACCCCTTTTTTTAATTTAAACTAGCTTTATTTTTTCTTTAAAAAAATAAGTAATATATATTCTTTTTTTAATTATATTTTATTAAATTAACGCCTTTTTTATAATCTTTAATTTTCTTTTAATTTTCTTTTTAATATATATTTATAAAGAAAAGTTAAATAAAAAGTTAATAATATATAATAAATAAACTTAATTTAATCGAGAAGCCTTTTTAATTAAACCTGTACCTATATTAGTTTACTGCCTTAAGCTATAAAATTTATTTAACTACTTTTAGCTATATGTTAAGAACCTTCTAGAATCCGAACTTACTGTTAAAGGCTTAGCATAGCCTTATTCCGTCGCCAGTGAAAGCATTATTATTATTTCGTTACATATCTCTATTGTGAAAACTTGACTGCTGCTTTTTGGTAAAGTTTACTAATCCCAGACTTTAGGAGCTGCTGCTCTAATTGTGGGCCGCGTTAGCGGAAGCTTACGATCCCCGCTTTCTAGAATCCAGGCCCAGCAGAAATAAACCTCCACGACTTCAACTCTGCGATCCTAGCTGCGCAAGTCGATCTCAAGTCTGGGATCTTTGATCTATGATAAGACCTTCTGCACGACACTAGGCAACTGACCTCAATTCTGAGCTTGACCTTTTCATCTCATGGCCTTTCTAGAAATGTAAGACATTATGGGGGCATTATTTTGGACTAATAGAAGCACAAGATTCAAATTACGATTTGGGGCATCTCCTGGCTACTAAAACCTATGCTAAAATGAAAACGAGGTGGCTCCTTATTATGGAATGTCTAACAAATAAGATGTCCCGGCTTCCTCACTCTGCTAAATATGGTCGAGTGTTCTAGAATATGTGCGTTTATTCAAATACAGGCCGGTACATTTTGCGCACTTTTTTCGATGCAAGACTCTCTCCTATATGGAACGATAATTCCAACTATATCCAAGTTATTCCGTTCGTCGTTGCAATAGATGCTGGGGGAACGGGGATGCGCAATTCTAATAAAAGCCAGCCTGGCGCTTACAATGGTCGAGATCCACTGGTACCTTGTTGGTTTCTGCAAGGGTACATATGGTACATACCCTAGCGTTCAGTGGGAGCGGGTACGTCTCGGGAACCCCATCGTGACTGCCGTAGCTACCCCACCCCGCCTATCTACTGCCTCTCAACACCTCTCGCCTTCCCAACTGCACCCATTCAGTTACCTTGGAGCTTCCCTTACATGATATTACATGTATATTCTAATTAGCGAACCTGTAATCTATTTCAGCTGCAAAATAGTTCCCTTTTTATCTTAACGCGGGGTTCGCTGTAATAGCGGTTAATACTGCATTCAGCTCATATTACTAGTCTTATATCATGAATAAGATTCATTATTATTCTAGTTATAAAAAGAAGTACTTAATAAGAAGTACTTAAATATAATTAGGGATATAAGAAACCTTATAAGTATATAATATAAATAAGGCTATTTAAATAAGGCTAAATAACTTAATATTTAAGTACTTGTATTATAAAAGGAAATATTTAATAAGAAGTACTTATATATAATTATAGTTATAGTAAACTATATATTTATATAATATAATTAAGGCTATTTAAATAAGGCCGAGTAGTTATAATACTACAGGCAATTACTAACTAGTATAGAGATATATAGAAGTATATATAATAGGCTAAAGAATTAATTCTATAAGTTTAATATAAAGGAAACAAAGAAGATAAAGAAGAAAAAGGAAGTAAAGCTAGTTAAAAGAGAGGATCTAAGCTCACGCAGCCGTGCCGTAAGCTGAGGCCCCTAGCTTAGGTATAAACGGGCCGCACGTAACTAAAGGCCAGCCGTTATAGTAGTTTAAAGTTTAAGTACTCGTGTTATAAAAGGAGGTACTTAATAAGAAGTACTTAGATATAATTATAATTATAATAAATCTTATATTTATATAATACAAGTAAGGCTATTTGAATAAGGCTAAGTTACTTGAAGTTTAAATACTTGTATTACGAAAGGAGATATTTAATAAGAAATACCCTAATATAATTCTAGTTATAAAAAACCTTAAAGAAACTCGGTGTAAATAAGGCTTAATCTATAAATAGGGGGCGAAGGGGCAGATTATATATATTAATATATTTTTATTACTATAATATCTTCTCTTACTCTTCCCCTGTCTTATATACTATCCAATCTCTAATTTCCTCTTATCCGACACCGAATTTACTGTCAAGAATAGCAAACACGAGGTCTCCCTTAGTGTATATACCCCTGCTATAACCCTCAAGTTGCGAGTCCATTTCTACTTCTCTATCCTCGGCTGTCACGCACAAACCTCTGTGTTGTTGTAGATGCTGTATGTGGGTCGACAATAATGTCAGGCATATTAGTTGACTGTATCGGAGATGAGAATTGTGTTGTGGGAACAGGTTACACGATGTTCGTGAGGAATACTAGGTGCGACTTTGCATAAGTGTGGTTGAGTTGTTAGGTCTTTGAGAGAAGATCGGAAGAGTCGGTGTTTCAATACACAGCGCGAAGTGAAAGATTTTGAAGCACTCATTGAACAAAGGTACCTGCCATCCTAGCAGGCAATAAAGTTGTCGACTTCTTAAGCTGCGCAGTGGGAAAACATTTGCTAAAATGCGCTTGATGACAGCCCCCGTGAGTAGACAGTCTGGCTTCTTTCTCTAAAGAGAATCATTAATTGGATAGAGTCCCATTAAATACAGATGTGGCATAGAAAACTTGTTGTATTAACGTTTTCGGCGGAGACCTAGAAGTTGAGCCTCGAATCTCGAAGAAGGGGGCGGGGGAGACGAAGAGGGAGTATAGAGAGATCATCGTAAATCGGATGTAGTCAAAAAGCAGGTGCTGATAGCAGAGAACCTGGAACTTAGAAATGTGATCTCGGCTTCTGAGGGGAGGGGTATATGGGAAAAGGAAACCAAAGTTTAAGAATGTGTTCTCGAGATGCGATTAACATTTCGAAATCTAATGCTGAAGTCACCCGAGACCATTGAGATAGCCCAATGTTCCTCAGTCTATGGTCGTATGTGGAAGCAGAATGCAGTATTCAAATCTATACTCCTGGGGCCTATGGCCACTTTTCCGTCAACTATTCTCAGTCTGCGGATCAAATTGTGGATCTATTCTGCTACTCTCGCACTTTATTGTTTTTGATTCCAGGCCCGCCTCGCAAACACTAAAATCGTGATAGCACTGGTAACGGGAAGAAGTGGGATGTGCTTCTTGACTAACCTGAAATGTAATCGAGGATGACCATACGCCTCGATGCCGGCACAAGCCGTCGCGGGAGTCTGGAGATGCGACAAATAATTTCCTGAGTTGCGACGTGGTTGGATTGACACGACTTAGCAGAGTGGCAATCGGTAATCGGCCATCCATCTGGGATCATTGCATGACACCAGAGATTGCAAGCGGATTGGGAGAGTCATGCTCAGATGACTGAGTAGGTGTGTTAAATTTAACGTGATGTATGACTATCATGACGTCTTTGGGCATCTACGTTCAGCCTCATTCGTCGACTCTGAAAGGTGCGCAAAATCGGGCGCTGAGATCTGCAGTACACTGGAATATGCCGTCATCGGAACAAAGCTGCAAATGACGGCTGCAGCCATTTGAAACTGCTTGCTTTCATCACGCGACGACAGAATCGTTTGATATAGGCCTATTATGCCAGATCTCCGATGTCAAAGCCCTATCGATTTGAGCACAAAATGTTGGATGTCTTCAGAGCTGTCCAAGTTTTACATCTAGCCTTCCGCATATAAGTATCACTGCCTCTTCAGCGCACCTCCACTTGCTTTCCTTGATTCAGTACCATTGAAAGATTGCAGCGCCGCTATTCCTAGGCTTCTTGCTGTTCTTGATCTCGGAATTTTTAAAATAAAATCTATCTTTCCGACATACCACTCAATTTACCTTCGAAATTATGGAATTGACTCGGCGGGGACGATACGGGCTTACGCCTCTCCTCTTTTTCAGCAATATGCTGATCTGGATCTCTGCCGTTATTGTGATGGGAATCCTTTCGTATTTCATTTCAGTCAACAACAACCAAGGCAGTCACATCATCTATGAGGAAGTTATTGTATGTTAACATCGATCGCGTTGCTACTTTACCGACCGTAACAGTACATCACTGACATTATCACGATAGTCCGTGCTTACAGTTGTATTCTTCCTTCTTGCGTTTTTCATCGGCGCCTACCCAGATCACCTGTTAATTTTCAACCTCGTTTTTTCATATCTTTGGATCGTGGCCGTTGCTTTCACCGCCGACGATTTCACACACTCGAATAGTGCGCTGGCGGAAACCGTGGAGGCATTTAGCTTCATTGCATTGTATGTAAAGCTAATCTTATATACGCCGAATCTGCTTACTAAACTTAGTTCAGCTTCTGCTTGTTATTCAACGTCATTCACGAATGGCATATTGGCTACGGTGATGTCCGTTCTACCTCGAGAGTTTGATGTTGCAAATTATAGCCAACCCTATAATATCTTCGATGGTGTATTCAGGAGTGTCAGATTGTTCAGCGATCAACGTCTTTTTGTTAATGTAAACTAAAATATAAATTGATACTGTAAGCATGCCTTTTGGCAACATTAGGGACTAGCAACGTTTTTTTATTGGAAGATATGACATCGAACACTATATCATCGGAGAATCTTGTGAAATGCCTAGCCTTGCTCAGTGATAATATTGAAGCGTGGTGAGACAACCTTGAGTGCACATTCTTTCCCGACCTTTCCTGCCTCAAATATGAATCGTTCTTCATGTCTCCGGTGGCAACTGTTGTAGCTTCAGAAGTGTACAAGCTTCTGCCCAGCGCAACTGCTGGTTTGAAAAATTCCTTCACAATATCTTGAGGACGTAGAATAGATCCCGAAAGTAAAATTGAGCCAGAAATCAGGTCTTCTCGAAAGCTTCAACTACCGCTCAAACACTTTTGAGGACCGCATTTGAGCCTCCAGGAGATATTTACTTGCATAGTAATGTTCGAGACGGGAGCAATTAATCTTAAACCAGATTCATTCCATAATATCATGGCTATGTCTTCCGGTGATGCATCATTCGTTGCTGTGACGCTACTTTGCAACCCATATGAACATCCTGAGACAACGGAATTAAAAATAATCGTTGGGACCGTGGGAAGAGCTCGTATATTACTACTAATAAATCCTAAGCAATTGAGCAAGGAGAAGCAGGCTTGGCAAAAATACCGTATCGATACGTATCGATACTTTCCCCATATTTTAATTATTATTTAATTATTCATATTTGCTATTATTTTATACGAATTAAAAATTAAAAATCTGTAAGCAGTACGAATGCTAATAATTTAGTTTAAATAAATATGTAAAATAATGAAATTTTTAATAAAAATATTAATATTTATTAAAATTGTGATTTCATGAGTTTTGCGATCCCGATAAGCTCATCGCTAATTTTTTAGCGTGCAATCCCTAAATTTTAGGCAGTTTATCGCTAAATTTATAGGCTAGCGGCCCCTAAATTTTCGGGAAAATTTAGCGATAAGGTATCGATACTAAAATTCTGGTATCGTTGCCAAGCCTGAGGAGAAGCAGAAGATATTATCATAGGACTCTATGACTCACGAGGATTCAATAGATTAACAGAAGACACTTGTTGGAGCACCTCTGTCCATCTTTCATTTAGTGGTTATAAAATAGCTTTAGACTCCAATAATCGTGATGTTCAAGATTCTGAAATACACCGTCTTGAGATTGTGTCTCGGTTCAGGATCGAGGGGAGTGGGTCGCTAATATTAATATTCTATCAACAATAACAGATAAAGCACTTGTCTAGCATAAAATCAAATCATAATGCTGCCACGAAGGCAAAAGTAACTCCATAGCGAGTAATACCCTAGGAGACAAATTCTCAGGAAGTTTTCGGTTAGCCTCTATCGACAATTGGCAAGAACTCCTTAACAAACCTAGTAATTCTATTGTTGTCAGGTGTCATGGCAATTGGCTGGCTAGGCTAGTAGTATCTGCGGTGTACGTGCGGCGTTTTGGACTTCGTGGTACGGCTATAGTAATGCCTAAACATGTGTGCTGACAATGTCGGGGGAAAAGACAAAATGGAAGCGGAAGGCGACGGCGAATAAACTCTAGCTCCTCCAAGAGGTCCGTTGATGTTGTGTTTCGAATGAGGAGAGTTTCTTGGAAGAATTCAGTAGGAACTGAAGCATCCGTGATCGAGCGATAGCGAGCCAGCAGAGGGATCTTAGAGCGCATATAAGACGGGGCATCCCACAAGCATTCTTCTGGTGCATTCCAAGAAAACGAGCCAGGGGAAGTCGGAACGAAAACGTTGAGACCCTTATTAAAGCATCTGTAAAGAATTAGGTTGGTAAATATAACGCATTAGGGTTCTCCTACCGAACTTCCTTGAGAGCAGATTGGCAAGATTCAGCCTGTACACATTGGCATTGAATCTGAACATATAATTTAAATACCCTTTCTTGGACAGCACCCCCTTTGAGCTTTTTGAAGAAGAATAGGATCCAGAGGTAAAACTGAAGGTTCAATTCTTTGTTGACACCGAAAAATGTTAAGCAATCCCACCCAGTGAGGTCACGACCCGCGACCTCTCCAGGAAGTGTTAGAAAAGGGTAACAAGCATCTAGTGCAAAGGACTCGCATGCTTTTTTGAGGGCAGGAAGAGGTAGGTCACTTAATCTGAGCTTCAATTTCCCTGAAGTTCCATCTCCTGTTGTATAAGGCACTCTAACGTCAGAGACCTTCTGTCTGATGGGTTCACTTATCTGCTTGTTGTATTCACACCAATGCGCCCACAGGAGCCCGACAACCCTATCCGGGCAATCCTTCGAAATCCTTTCGAAAATCGGAGATAGCTCTGTAGGGTTGCCCCGATCAACATGGCGTGGATATTCCTGCACTCCGATGACATCTCGTAGCCATTCTTTCCAAGAAGAGTGCCCAGGTCTCGGTGGGCGATAGTACGTTCAGATATTCTGGATGCAAAATCAAGCTGGGATCACCAGGGAACAGTTCTCGAACACCAAATGAATCGTCTGAACAGAAGAAAATTTCGCTGGACAGCCGGAATAACTGATCCTTTTTCTCGTTGAAGACATGTAATCGTCGATACAGCTTGCTATCATCCGTATAGTCTTTCGGATGCGTCCACCACAAAAAGCGGAGATGTGACAGCGAAGATTCAAGTCCGATATTGTGACCAGACTGGTATTTTTCAAAGATACGTCGACGTACTAGATTAAAAGGTGCGTCCTTAACTCTAAGCGCTGTAAACAGCAGTTTTCTCGCAGGACACGAAGCGGCATCAGCTGTAATGAGTGAAATATTGAGATCGGTTGGAACAGACAAATTACCCACAGTTGTGAAATAGACGTCCGCGTTCGAATTTGAGGTCCAGTTATGATAACCTCCTGGAAAAAGGGGAATTAACGGAAGCTCCTGTAGCCTTGCCCATTCAGTCGGATAATTGTCTCGACAAAACAAGAAGAACATGGCTACATGTGTATGCCATATGTCCTCGACGTTCGTTCGCATACAAGAAAGCAATTTCGACTTTACATCTCTCTCCACACGGTCGACCATTTCTTCAGGGGTCAAATCCTTGAGGCCAAGTGTCCGAAGCCTTTGTAGCTGTGCTTCGTAGTCCGGATGTAGATATTTCTCGTCGTCGGGAAGATCAAGAAATAGCGGATTGCTCTTTTCCTCGGGACTGTCCCTGAACATTTCTGGAAGATACCGCAAGTCGCTTATGAGGCGTACACGTCCGCTGCGGGACCGTAAGAATAGAGTTCCTTTCAAAGCACTCTCGATCTTCACACGTAGAGCGCTCCAAAACGTGCTGGATATGGAGTGATCGGGGAGGAACTCCATCCACTGATGCCGGAGGGGGAGACATGGATCATTGCTAAAGTGCTTCGCCGCAACTTGGAAGACCTCAGCAATTTTCCCAAGGAGGACAGCATTCCCTGCTGATTTCTCATCCACAGCCTCCCGATTGGCCGAGGTGGAGAAATCGGAATGGACCAGAAACTAGGAGAGTGTGAGCATCGGATCCGGAAATGGAACAATAGACTTACATGAAGTCCAACCCCAGTACTGTTAATTGGGAGGCGCGCAAAAACATCTGGCTGCCTCTCGATCAACGGCTTATGATCTGGCGTAAATGGGAAGGCAAGCTTGACTTCCGCATTGGGATTTTTCCTTTTCTTGCCTTCCGTCGGAATTTCATCAAACACTTGCCTGAAAATATGAAAATGCTTCACATCTGGTTCTGAATCTCCGTCTTCTCTCGTAAGGACTCCTCGCTCCTCCAACTCTTCATAGGACGTAGTTATGGTAGAAAATTGTGCTTCATGATCGACGATTGAGAGCTTTTTGATATGCCTTAGAAATAGTGGGGACCTCTCTGTATTTCTGGAGGGCTTCGGCTCGGATACGTTGTTCCTCTAAGAGGGTCAACGTTATTCGAGTGCATCCGTCACAGTGTCCAAAAAATAATTAAGGTAATTAATTATATTTAATTAAATCAAGTAAATAATTAAATATAATTTGATTATCGACTTTCAAAAAAAAAATTAATTAATAGAAAAATTATAATTAATTATAATTAATTATTTCTAATTATCACGTGAAACCTATATAAAAGTTTTATAAGTTCTCTTCTTTTATTTAAATAATATACGACTAAAGTATGAAGAGAGTAAATGTTAATTGATTTCCAAAGAAGAGGGAAGGAGAGCAAGGTAATATATATGTGAATTATTTACTCTGGATATTGTATGACTGTACCCACGTGATTAGAGAAGTCAAAACCCCTACTATAGTACTTATTTACAAAGATAAGTAAAGCGAGTAAAGGCGGGATACTAGCTATTAAGCCTATAATAGTAAGGCGATATCTAAATTAGGGTAAAACACGCTTTACTTTTGCGCCATAACGCTTATATTATCTTTATAGCCACGTGTAGTAACACGTGACCCGGTAATTAATTATATTTAATTAAATTAAGCAAATAATTAATTATAATTTGATTACTACGATTCTGACTTAATTTAATTTGATTACCGGCCAGTAATTATAATTAATTAAATTATTTGACACACTGAGATTCCGTCAGGAGGATTGTCTGATGCTTCGTATTCTGGCGTGAACATTTGCATATCGTTGTCCCCTTCACACACACGGAAAGAAAACGAATATTCTTTGGACTCGATGTGTGCTTTAGATGCCATCATAAAGACAGACTTGAACCCGATACCCTTTTCTCCAATGTCATTTTCTCCCTTGTTGCTCTGGTTGATGTCGCAGATTCGATTGACATCATCTCTAGTAAATCCGTCTTCGTTATATTCGAGAATCACTTTACCAGGGAGCAAGGCGAATTTGAGGTATGGTGTACAATTTTCACTTTCTGCATAGCCATATGTTGCATCGTCTGCGTTTTGGATCAATTCGAGAACGACACTGTCTACAGAAGTATAGATATCTCGGGAGACACCACAGAGCATGTTAGCCTCATCCTGAGACCTGGTTTATTGCTTGGGGTTTGCTCACATTGGAAGAACAGATCCTAGCCGCCCAGATGTTAAATTGACGAAATTTATGATTTGCTCCAGCTGAGGGTCGTGTTCGGGCTTCTCGTGCTGCAGTTCTTTGAGAATATCCAGTGGAATTGAACGTTGTTCTCGAAGAAAATCAATATGTGCGCGGGCCTCCGCTCGTTATTGAACTGTCACTCTTTCCCGTACGAGATTCGTTGCGCTAGACATGAAGACTGTATTCAAGGCAATGGTGATCGTATGGGGAGGGTTTTGTTTTTTTTTAGGGGAGGTTTTTCTTGACGAGTATACAGCAAAATGGAGTAGAGTGGAGTGAAGACAAATGGTGTGTGATAAAACAAGGCTGAGTGATGCCAAATAAATGAATATATGATCAAGGAACATGCAGACAATCGGCTACGAGTCTGTGAGCTGCTGGCAATGGCCAGCGATGCCTACCAGACGGTCCTGAAACTGGACAAAGGCTCCAGCGAGATACACGAAACGAGGAGATTTACAAAAGGGGAAGGTAACAAGAAGAAGGATCAATCATTGCGGGAGCAGTGGGCTGCGGACATCTGCCCCTGCCGAAAAAGTAGTGGCCGAGTGAATGTGGCTGACAAGTAAGCCGAACTGAAAATGAAACTAGCCTATGTGATCCTGCTTCCACGACTGAGATCTAAGAACTCGATTCGAGGATCTGAACTCAAGCTCACCCCGAGAGCGAAAAGCTGGTGCGTAGAAATCATATCAAAGGTATTCTTGTCTGCGTTTTAATTTAGCGAATGCGATCTTATCTCTTCGATATAATATATTTCACATCCGTGATGCTAGAGTAGCTAAGGACCACGGAGATAGCCCGATTCTCCTCAGTCTATGGTCGTATGTGACTGGAGTTGTCGTAATTGTACTTAAAAAGCAGCAAAATTCAAGATCCACGACTCGAGGATGGCGAATCGAGCACGTGGACCTGCAAAGGGCTGTTGTCGAAATATTGGCCGACAGGAGCCGCTCCGAAAAGCGCGGATCGGAGTTAGCGAAACCCGGAGCCGAGATAGTGAATCTAGGATCTAGGAAGGACAGTGTAGCTTAACAATACTGTATATACTCCGTAGCATCAGCCAGGCCTAACAATCGACACACAAATCCCGAAGCTCTCAGCCACACTCGCTCGCCAGCCGTTTCAAGGTATGTGCCCAGAGCACGAGCGAACGTCAGGCGGATTTGGTAGCCTAATTGGGTTAGTGCTTATGTGGGATCGCATTCCCTAATTGGGATTAGTGCTTCCGTACACCCAGCGGAACGCTAGATAAGATATATGGAGGCATGCGGAGCTTTGGAAAGGGGCATCGATTAGTTTATTGATTGGAATCAGTTCCTGGAATCAGTTACACTTGCACGTTTCACTCCATACCTTAGATTCCACCCACCCCCTTACCTTGACTACTTGCGTAGCGCCCTGCTACTATCCCCCCCCCGGTTCAAAGCTCCATCACGGTATTGGTAACACCACGCCTGCACGGGCCCTATCAAGGGTCGACAGCGAATAGCAGCTCTCGAAAGCACCTGATATTTCCTAATTCGGGGATATTAACGAAGTTTTGGGGTGGCGTTACTAATACCGTGAGGGAGCTTTGAACCGGGGGGGGGATAGTATTGTGCGCCTCACACTTCGGCTCGTGCCGCTTCGCTTACCAAGCGGCGCGATGTCCGATTTAGTAAGGAGCGCCTGAAGCGATACTGAATGCGGCTAGCCCAAACCTTATTTCAGCCTCATCTCGGCTTCCGAAGCTCTGAAGTCATTTGCTTAGTTACGTAATAAATCTAATTAATTATCTTTAATTATCTTTGATTATAATTAAGTATGATTTGATTAGCTTGATTTTTACTTGATTTGATTTGAGTAGGGGGGTCTAATCAACTCAAACCTAATCATTTGACACACTGGGCGAACGCTGATGGTGTTCATCCACCAAAAACATCGACGTCCCCTCTTTCGCGGAGAAATCTTTCTCTCCTCAGATTTTGCGGATGTCCATCAGATATACAGAATAGAAAATTTGACTTTTAGCCTTACTCCAACCAATCTTTACCGAGAGTAAACAACCGTAAAACAAGAAGTTACTCATCTTTGACGGGGTGTAGTAAGAGTGGCGGCAAACAATCCCCACCAAGATACGTACGCCACTGGTTATCTGCATCATTGTGTGCAAACCAATAACTTGATTGCGACCAAGGTCCCGGAACCCATCCATGAGTCGTATAAGATGATGAAATCCCATATCCGCCAGCCTTGTTACGCGGTGGACCACGGTCGATATTTTCAACAAATTGCTGGACTGTCCAATTGTTCGCAAACATGATTCGGTGGGGTATCGTCACTGCTTTCAAGCCATGCAGCAATGCAAGAGTCTCCAGCGTTGCTTCACTGGCAAGCCACTGACCGCTTTCACGTTGTGCCTCGCTGACAAGCTGGAGGAGACGACGCGAGGAGCGTGTAATGCTTACAAAGGAAGCTCGACGAGGAGTTGCTAGCCCGTCAGTAAAGCCATGAATCATCGTTTCGTAGATCCAGTCAGTTCCGATAGGGTCTATGTCTGGAAATAAACTGATAACATCGGCGTCTTCGTTAACGCCCCAATCTTTCTCCGAACGAGGAGGTGGCTTGGGGCCTTTAGGCATGAAGTTTGTCGTCACAATAGGTCCCCAGACACCCAAGTCGCCAATCTCATCGTCGACGGCCTTAGTGAAAGCATCGTAGGATCCATTATGCAGTTCCGGGATGTAAAAGCGACCGTTACGCTCCCAGAGGTTGCGCCGTGGTTGTAATTCAGCGAATGCAACGGCATTTTCCAGACTATCATAAATATGGCCAGTGAAACGTAGGTCCATTTCTAGCTGCCAAAAGTGGGTAAAGTGTGGAAATTGGTGCGAGAAGATCTGCAGTGCCTGGTACATCTGGTTTTGCGCACCATGCTCCTCGACTTCTGGGTACCACTTCTCAACCGTCCTTTCGTTCCACAACACGGCCATGTCTCGAAATTCTTCCGGGACGTATGCTTGGAGTGCCTGCTTATAAGCCACCTGATTTTCCTCGAGCTCTATTGTATTGTCCTTCACATTCACCAGAAGGAAGACTTCGTAGTGACCGGCCGAATGCAGAGCAGTTTCTGTGATTAAGGCTCGGAGCCAAGCCCGTCGGCCATCGGTGTATTCGTAGTTGTCCCATGTTCTGAGGACGACCGCTGTGCGTCCTCCTTTCTGCTTTGGTTGGATACTCGTCTGGGCGGGGGATGGTGGTTGGCGCCATAAATCGTGGTTACGTGCGCTGTTGGTACTTATCTCGTCGATGTAGAGATGTTGATTGCCTGCAGCACAACGTTTCTGGACGTAACCTGTTATGGTCAACTAGATAACAAACACGAGCCATAAATGCTCACCCCATTGCACTGTATTCCAGTCATAATCTTCCGTCGGCGACATGCGATACACATCAAGTCGCGATTCGGCCTTTAGGCAGACATCCGGATTTCCCAAAATCTTTGCATCGCCTACCGAAGGCGGCTGTGCCTCTTTGCTGTTATAATCATCATAGCGAAGATTTCCACGGTCTGAAGCATCCCATTCTGGCCATATACGACAGGCTTGATGGTGACTCTCCTTACTCAAGCTAGCAAGGTGGTCATACCTTCCATCGTAGAATCGATGAATGGTAAAGACGGAGATTAATAAAACACAAGGGATGCCAATGACCATCCTGTGAGAGATTAGCCTTCGGCGCATGGTCAAAAAATAAAAATGGACGGATGAAATTTCAGAATAGAAGATTTCAGATATGATAAAAGAGAGGTTTTCAATGTTCCTGTCTGAGTGCTCCTGTCTGAGTGCTTCTACTTTGGGTTAGTGGCCCCCAATCGACACCTAGTCGACAACCGGGGGGGCCGTTTTACTTTTCCCCCTCGCTGCCAGCCCGATTCTCTGTGTTGCTTTGCCTGCTGCCCCGGAGGTGACCATGGGTTTTAAAAATACTCGTGCGGTCAACAAAGGTCTAATTGGTGGTAAAAAGAAACAACCAACACTTTAAAGTTTTTGCGGCGTTACTTTCGGGGAAAAGTAAAACGACCCCCCGCCCGCGCCGCGGGTGTCGATTGGGTGTGCCGATGGCAGAATCTTTTTTTGGCTTAACACTCGGCATTTCCCGAGTTCATTACTAATATGAGGCACGTAATAGCAGGGTGATGCACAAGTAGTCAAGGTAAGTAAGCTGCAGAGTGACGCTTGCAAGTGTAACTGATTCCAAGAAGTGATTCCAATAAGAGACTAATCGATGCCCCTTTCCAGAGCTACGTGCGTCTCCCTATATATTCCCTAGTGCTTAGCCAAGCGCACGAAGCCCTTTACTTAATTAGGAAATATAATCCGGCGCGATCCGTGCGATTCTAATATAAGTAATGCCCAAAATAAGAAACCAAATCCACGACATCTAATATTTGTTTATACTCCGTCACGTGTACCTATTATATTAACCCCTTATTCTCAAGCGGCCTTACAAGTCTACGGATACGGGTCTGGGAATTATAGGGTATTTTAGTAACTAGCTTTCACTAAAAGAAAACTCTAGCTCTTTAAAAAATACTAGTATTCTTCTAATTATATTAAGAGAATAAACTATAGCCTTTTAATTACTATACTATTTACTTTTTATATTATTATATTTTGTAATTATTTAATAGAATTGAATTCAATTAATTGCCTTTTAATTTGTAATATTTAAAAAGTATTTTATAATTTATAAACCTATATTTATAAGCTTATTAGTAAATTACAAATTGCTTTATATATATTTCTTAGTATTCTTATAATATTAGTCTTATCTTAAGGCCTTTTTATTTATATTCTAGTATTATACTAGTAATAAATCTAAGAATATAATTTTTTAAACTTGTTTATTTATTTTATTTTAGTTGTTATTTGTGAATTAGCTAGTATTTTATTAATAAAAAAGCTTGGAAAAGTTAATTTAATTTTCTAGTTTATTTATAAATTCTTTCTTTTAATTTTTCTAGATTTTTCTAATATAAAAATAACTCTAAATTTGCAATTATTAGTTAAAGAAAAAATATTATAAAAAGGCTTTCTTTACTTAATTATAATATTATATTTAGCCTTTTCTTATACCTTTTTTCTTTTTCAAACTTTATTTAAGCTTCTTTTTCTAATATTATCTTTTACTTTTTTATTTATTAAAATAAGTTAATAAATTAGTATTTAATAAATTATTACCTCTTATTTAGCTAATACTTTTATAGTATTAATTTGTTTTTATTACTTTTAATATTTTAAAAATATTACTAAATTTTTAATATTAAGGCTAATAATTACTTAATATATAAATATTATTTTTTAAAAATAAGAAATATAATTTTATAAATTATAATTTCTTTTTTTATTTTATTTTTTTAATATTATTTAAGATTTTTTAAATATATATTATATATTTAAATTACTTTCTTAAAATTACTATTATAGCTCGGTAATTTTTAATTAATTTATTTATTTATTTAAAATAAAACTATATATGTTTTTTATATTAAAGTAATTATTTATAATATATAAATTCCATTAATAATCTAAAATATAAGTTAAGTAGTTTTAACTTATTTAATATAAATATAAAGTATTTTTAAAGATATAATTAATATTTTTTAATATTAAATAAGCTTATTTTCTTTTTATTTCTTATTAATTACTAATTACCTTTTTAGTTAATTTGGCTCTTATTCTCGGGAGAACTCGAATAATAATAATAATAATAATAATAATAATAATAATAATAATAATAATAATAAAGAGAAACAAGTATAAAGGTAAAGTATTTATAAAATAAATAATTTAAGAGTTTTAATATTTTCTATCCTCTAACCACTCCTTAGCAGGATCCAGCAGGCATCTCGTAGAATGAAATCTTCCCCCCCCTAGACTCAGCTCCAGCAGGCATCTCGTAGGATGAAAGCTCCGCCCCCCTAGACTCAGCTCCAGCAGGCATCTCGTAGGATGAAATCTTCCCCTCCCTAGCCTGACCGTGCACCTGACTTTCAGTAGCAGCACCACCCTGATGTGTTGCTCGTTTTTGGTGGCGCCATCGAGATATCAGGTAGCCAAGGCCAATTAATAATAGGCCGCCCAGCGCAGCTGCTATGCCGATCCCGGCTTTCGCACCATCATTGAGGTTGGCACCTTTATAAGCCTTTGCCGTTCCTGTCGCAACAACGAATTGGCTTGTTGTCCTCGACGGTATTGAAACCAGCGTTGTCGTTGACGTAATTGAGGAGGTTGTTGGCCAGGCTGGATCGGTGCTCGCTCTTGCGATAGCAATTCCTTCAGCGAAGATGAGATCTCCCGAGTTCGCCGTCGTAACTATTTTGCCCACTATAGTGCTGGTCCCAAAGAATAGACTTGAAATTGTCAGGGTGCTTTGAGAGGAGATAGTTGTCTGACAGGCGTAGATCTCATCCAGTGCACCAGTTTGGCGTGTGTTGACACATGTGTATGAGCTGTTGGCAACCACGGACACATTAGCCACGACTGATTTATATCTCTATAGTAAATGACGATGTGGTGATGAATCACTAACCTGGGGCAGCATGTCGCTACTGTTGATCCAACGACACCATCCGTCGTCGAGGGAACTACCGTGCAGGCATAGTCGTATCCAGATGGACATATTCCAGGTGAATAGAAGTATTCTGGTGCGCGGTTAAACCCAGGGGGCAAACAGAAATTTATATCTTGTTTGAGTGCGAGCCAACTTGCACCGGGATTTTGTGCGTAAAAAATACTAGTGCAGGTCGGTAAGGATGGTGTAAAGGTTGTAGTGAGCGGGCCAATGTTAGTACTAGTGATAGAAGACATTGGGCTGGTTGGCAGGCGATGTTGAGCTGGTCTGTCTTGTTTTCCCCCTTGACAGTGGCGACAGAATAATGGAGGAAGGCCAAGTCTTACCTTCGTCTGGCGAGACATTGCAGGTCTAGCAAGGGGCCTTGGCTCAGGGCGAAACGAAATAGATGACTAATAAGTACAAGCAAAAGTAGCCTACACGGCCTGAGCCAGGCTCCCTTGCTAGCGCCTGGCAATGTCTTGCCAGACGAAGGCACAAAAAAAAACAGGAGAGTCCAGCTTAGCAAGGTTATTGGGGGTTCCGGGAAAATGTAAAACAACCCGGGGGGCGATTAGGGGTGTCGATTGGGGGCCAGACCAGCCACTAACCCAAAGTCGAGGCACTCGAACAGAAATACCGAAACCCTGGCTTTTTCTTTAATTTAATTAATTTTTATAATAAATTCATATAATTCAATACTTGTTTTATTTCCTTATAACGCTACTTAAGGGCTATTTAAATATAAACTTTTTATAAAATTTGAATTAATAATAGCTTTTTAAATTAAAGAAGTTAAAATTTTTATATTATATAGCTTAAAGATAAGTTTTAGAAAGCTTATAAATATAGTAAATAAGTTTCTAAAACAAGATATAAGAGCCTTATAAGCCTGTAATTTATAGAACTTTATAAGGCTTAAAAACTAGAACATAATTAATTAGTATATAAATTTTCTTAAAATAAAATACTATTTTAAGAAATCTTTTTATTATAAATTAAAAAACATATAATTATAATATTAGAATTATTATATATTAGCCTATTTCTTTATTTAGTAAGATATAATTTATATTAGTATAAAAGTCTAGCTAAAAGGTAATAAATAACTAATATATTTATAAATAAAACTATATTTTTATAATCTAAACTAGGCTTTTTATTAATATAAATTATATTTTATTAAATAAAGAGATATTTATTTATATCTTTTATTAGTTTTTATTAGTAATTTATAAAAGTAACTAGGCTATTATAATAATAGAATTAATATAATAATTAAAGGTTTAAAGTTTAAAGAATCTTATATATTAGAAAATACTAAACTATAAAATAAAATAAGAAAAATATCTTGACTTTTAATATTATTCTATTTAAGTAATTCCGGCTTAGCTTTATTTTATATCTGTTTCTAATATCCTGTTTTTAGTAGATTATATTTTTATACTAGCTATTATATTACTTCTTTCTAAAAAGAAATCTAAATATCCTTATTTAGAGAATTATTTAGCTATAATATAAAAAAGGAAAGAGGAAATAATAGCTATTAACCTTATTTTATCTAATCTCGAAAACTTATTTATAATTAAAATATAGTTTTAACTTTACTAAAATAACCTAGTTTCTAGTATATTCTAGCTAGTTCTTATTATTTATTACTTATATTATATTTATACCTATATTAATAATATAATCTAGAAGTATTATATAGACTATAAATAATATTAGAACTATTATTATCGGGCGGTCTTTAAATAGAAATAGTAGATTAAGTTTATTTATTAAAATAGGTTTTAATATAATAGTTTACTTATTTTTTCTTAGTTAAAATAGTAATATTTAATTTAATTAAACTACTTCTAAGCTATTTAATTAACTTTTAGGTCTTCTCGAATTTAATATATATTTCTTTAAATCATTTATTTATTTTAGTAATTTATATATTAAAGCTAGCTATTTTAGCTATTTTATTATTATATTTCCGGGTTTTAAGCTTTATAATTCTGGTTTTATAGAAATTTCTAAAAAGTTTTCCGATTTTCTAAATAGTATTATATATTAATTTATTAATATTTGTAAAGTATTAGTTCTTTACTTTAGCTTTTAGAATTATTTACTAGTTCTTGGTTTTAGACTAATACTTTATATAATAACTATTATTTAGTATTATATATTTTTTAGTTATAATAAATATTTTAATATTAGTTTAGCTATTTTTATTATAATTAGAATCTCTTTTATTATTAGAATTCTTTTTATTTTTAGTCTTTTTATTATTAGAATTTTTATTATAATCTAATACTTTATATATATTTTTTTTTATTAATTTTTTTAGTATTTAACTTAATAAGATTAATAAGATATATTTTATTAATATTATTTATTCTATTTATTAAACTATTAGATTTATTATTACTAGTAATTAAATCCTCTATTTTATTATTTTTAAACTACTTTATTAAGATATTTTCTATAATAATTTCAGATGTATTCTTAAAAGTAATATAAACTATATTCTATATATTAATTTATTTTTAGATAAGAGAATTACTATTTTTGTTTATAAAAGTAGTTTGGCTAGTAATTATATTAATAATAGTTATAGCTATTAAACTTGAGATACTATTACTATTATTTAAATTATCTAGAATCTAGTAAATAGCCTTATTTAATTCGGCTATAAATAATATATTACCGGAATTTCTTATTTGTTTTATCTTTATTAATAGTTCTATTAAGGTAGTAATTATTACGAACCTATAAAAAGAGCTTATAAATAGAGTACTTATAAGAAGAATCGTTTATTTAGAATTCTAAAGTAAGAAAAAAAAAGTTTCTTAAAGAGAGAACCGAGCTTAAGTATAGAGTATATATATATAGCTTAGTAAGCTATATTAGTTCTAATTAGATATAGAGTATATAACGAGAACTATTATAATAATAATAATATAAATAGTTAAAGTTATAAAGATTAAAGTAATTAGAAAGATTTCTTTTAATTTTTAATAATATTTTAAATTAATATAAATAAGTATTTATTTTTAGTTTAATTTTAAAAATTTAGTTTTTTATATAATTTGCCTAAATAATAAAATATAATCTAATATAGTAAAGAAAAATATTTTATCTAGATTTCTAGAAAAGAAAATAGATACTAATATAATAAAATAAAGGAAATATATTAGAATTTAGATAAAATCCGAGAAATAATTAGGTTTTAGGTTTTTTTCTTCTTCTAGTTATAAAAGCCTTATTATAGAAGTTTATTATTATCTAAATAATTTTTTATTAACTTATCTTCTTTAGTATACTAAATTTATTTAGTTAATTAAATAAAAGATTCTATTTTATTAGAATTCTATATATAGAATTTATATAGTTTAAATACTAAATTCTTAAAATTTAATATAAAATACTATTTATTATTTATATTTTATTTCTTCTATTTAACTTTATAATAAAGCTTATTATAAAATATCTTAAAAAAGAAAATTTTATTAATTTCCTATTCGAGTTTATTATTAATTTTAATAAAACCAAGTTTTTTATTAGTTTAATTAAATAATAAATTAGTAAAATTCTTATAAAGTCTATTTATATAAAAGATTAGCTGGATTCTATATAATAGAAAAAAGTCTAATTAGTATAAATAATATCACGATTTCCAGATGCCCGGTATCTGAGATGCCTCGCCAGATACCAGATGCCTTCTAGGCACATGTAATATGGCCGCCTCGCTAGGGAAGTATACTGGGAATATACTAGAGATATTTAGAAGGCTAAGCCCCTTTGGGACTAGCGTACTATAGGGTATATATACTTCCTTACAGCCTCCTATATTCTAGTTTTTCCTTCCTTAGCTTTGAATTATCTTTGTAAGAGACCTTCTACTTTACTTTCCAAGCCCTAAATACTATACCCGTAATAGTATTTAAAGCTTACTTCCTTTAATCCTATAAGGGATTTCAAATAAACTAATTTAGAACTATTAGTAATATAGGTACTACTAAGACGACGGAACCTCAGAAATAAGAGTAATAGACTCCAGAATAATAAAAGCGAAAAACTTTAGAACCCTTAGAGGAATCAAATATTTATATCTTTATAAATATATACTAGTAGTATATTAGAAACCTTTCCGAAAACCCGAAAATCGAAGAACCTCGAATAAAGGCTACTTTTTAACCAAGTTCTAGAGTAATAGGTATATATAGGCTAGTAGCCTAACTATTACCTTTAAGCCCTATCCTATAACCTTATAGGCCCTATATATATGCCAGTAATAAGACTACTAGAGAGGATATAGTAGAGGAAAAGTATAATAGGTCGATTTTCCAGAATACTATATAACCAGAAATTATATTAACTTCTACTAAGGCTTTTAGTAAAGTTTCTACTAGTTTAGGTCATTTTATTAGCGGCCTTTTCCGAACCGAATGTCCTATTAGTATTTCTAGAGAATTTATAGACGAATCTATAGAAATAGAATCCTCTACTTTTATTATAAAGCTCTTAGAGACTAATAACTATATTACTACCAAAGAATTATATAAATAGGCTAAGGAATCCGATACCTTACTTTCAGATATTAATATTATTATAAAAAGCTATTAGAAAAATATTTAAAAAGTTATTTTTTATAAAAATACCTATAGTTATAATAAAGCTATTCTCGAGAATACTAAACTCTATAATACTAAGCTCGAGGATAAAGTTAAATACTATATAGCTATAGTAGATTGGTTTATAATAGCTCTAGCTATTTCCGCTCTAGCTACTTTAAATTCTTTTTAAAAGAATTCCGAATTATCTTTTACTTATTCTTATTTAGGATCTTCTATATCTTATATTCTCTTTAAAGGTATTAGAGTTACTAAGCTCCCAGATCTAACTTTCTTTACTAGAGATTATACTGTTTTTAATAACTAGCTAGTTTAAATTAAGAATAAGCTATAAGAAAATACTAATTTATATTTTTTAGAAAATCTTAAGATTATCTATATTTCTAGTAAACTTACCGGTAATACTCTTGCCCTAACTAACCCTTATATAAATAAAGATAGTCTAAATTAGTACTATTAGCTCTTAAAATTCTATTTTTACCTAAAGAAGTTATTTTCTAATTCTAATAAAATATAAAATACTTATTATAACTTTAATAAGCTTCAAATATATTCTAGTTAAGTATTTCAGGAATTCTATATTCTCTTTTTATAACTATTTATAAAAGGCAGTATTAGTCTTTAAGATATTAAATATAAACTAAATAAGAAGATTTTACTAAAGCTTTAGAAGTTAGTATATATATACTATAATAATTCTTTTATTAATACTACTTATTTTACTTAGTACTATACTACTAA